AGCCCTGCAGGGGCAGGCCCTGCTCCCTGCAGCCCCTGCACCAAATAAATCCTGGGGTCAGAGGGCACAGAGGCCTGGCCTCTCTGACGTGGGTTCTTGGGGCTAAGACGGGGTTGAGGGTGGTGACTCACAGACATTCTCCTCTCACCCCCCTTCCGTCTCGTGTGCACCAGGAAGCCTCCCCCACCCCGACAGAGACCGCTTTGTTAACACAACCCGGTCGGAGGAAAGTTACAGCTTCAGGGTTGTGCGCGCCTCCTCGGCCTCTCCCTCATTCCCCCCGCTCCCCTCTTGGGCCCCAGCCAAAAAGGCACCGACCCCGCCGCCCCGCCCCTGCCCAGCAGCCCGGGCCGCCGAAGCGCTGAGCTCAGCATCCCTGCGGCAGGCCGCCTTCCTCCGGGGTGGTGGGAGGAGCCTCCTCCCTCCCGCGCGTGGGCGGGGCCAGGGCCCGCCCCGCCCCCACCCCACTGCCCCTCCATCCCCCTCCTGTCCCTCAGAGCACGTTCTCCGAGTCACGTCCCTGCTTCCCCCCAGTAGGGGGTCGGGGACTGGACGCCCCCCTCCAGTCAGCTGCTCAGCATCTGTCACTTCGGCCGCTGGGATCCCTTGAGGGCGCACCTCGGCTCTGGGGGGAGGGGAGAGGGAGCAGAGGGTCTTCCCTTCCCCCATTCCTGCCAGCCCCAGACTGGCCACTGCAGACCACAGCAAAGTCACTTAAGCTCTTGTGTGCACCAGTTCCCAGAGCAGAATCTACAAATTTTTGTGTTTGTCTTTTAAATACAAACGGGACAACTGGGATGGGGGAGGGCCCCTCTTTTCATATTATTTCCCAGACTGGCCTTCCAGGACCTAGGGGACACCAAAGTTTGGGGGAGAGCGGTTACTGGGAAGGAGGATGTGGTGACAGAATCACTGTCACTTCTGGGACTGAGAGTGACTAGCTAAAGGGAAACCCCTAGTGTGTCTATCTGCCTTGCCATTCGAGTCAGCACTGCTGCGCCCTGCCGAATTCTGCAGGGGGAGGAAGAACCTGATCAGATAAAACAAGGGCCAACCTAGAGAAAGTCCTTTGTGTCAACAACTCCATAGTGACTGCAGGGGTTCACTCCACCTGTTCCACACTCTACCGGCCCCGCCCCCCAGTAACAACCCCGCTTTCCAGCCTTTCCTGTCCCCTTTGGCTTACAACTAAGAGTGTCAGTGGCTTGGGATCAAGGAAATGAACCTTAGAGTAATGGCTCCAGCCTGCTGACCGGCTGTGCGACCTTAGGCAAGTCACTGCACCTATCTGAACTTCAGTTTTCTCACCTGTACAGAGACACTGATGAGCCCTGTCCTGCCTACATACTCTACACAAATATTACTTGTGATTTTTATTGACAAAACTATGAAAATCTTAAAGGATATGGAAGTGTTTTTAAAATCATGAAGAGCTCCACAAGGGTCAAAGATCTTTGTGAGGAGGTGGCAAAATTGCTAGGTGGGGCTGGTGGCTCCCATCACCTGCCAGCCAAGGAATTCCAGACAAAAGCCCAGGATACAGAGATGCAGAGATGCCTTTTGCATAGACCTGAGTTTCCCAAGCCTTTGGCTTCCAAGGCCACTGGAGATAAAAATGAGTGAGGTTAGAGGCTTGGCAGAGGGGTGAGGAAGGAGATCCAAGCCAGGGAAAAGAAAGTTCCGGAGATTTGAGTGAGGCCTAACTGCAGGGAAAGAGGGAGATCATGTGCTTCCTACCCTGCAGCTCAGGCCTAGTCCATAAAGTGGGGAGGTGGGGGCTGGAAGAAGTTCTCCCAAGGCCTGCTTGCCCTAGCATTCAAAGATTCTAAAGTTCTTTCTGCTGACAGAAGAATCCTGACAGTGAAAGAGATGACTTTCTCTCTGCTGAGCACCCTAATCTAGCCCTACTCTCCCCGGCCCCTTGGGATATTCAGAGGCTGGATAGGCCCTCCTGGTCTCTTTTCCCACCTGAAAACAAAAACAAAAGGCAAAACCATAATAAGCTCATCTGCTGCCCAGGCAGGAGGTGGGCCTGGGTTCTGCCTGCCCCCACTGTGGCAGCCCCTGGCCATCCTTGATATCCCCTGCCACACAGTCCCTAGGTTGATAAACAAAGCCCACCCCAACCCTGCCTCCCCCTTTGATATATAGCAGTTGGAAACCCTCAAAAGTCAAAAACACTGAAATGGCTGGAATACCTCTTTCAACTTTCTCTGGCCTCTATAGGCCAGGCCTGGGATGGGAAAAGCAGTTCCATATAACCTGTCACATCTTTTTCCTTTGCTGTGATCCCCATGGAGGGTCAAGGGGCTTTTGAGATTCTCTAGTTCTGGCTTTTCAAAACCTGGGTAAGCAAAACCCAACACTACATGAAGCTACAGGATAAACACAATGTATCTTTCCTTTTATTAAAAGTATTTTTTTTCTTTTTTTGCAGGGAGAAATTAAGTAATTTAACTAGTAAATAATTTAAAAGTTTGCTACTAAAGTTAATACAGATAAAATATATAATAGAATGCAAAACTGCATTATTTGCAATAAAAATACTGGGTTTTACAGGCATGTTATGCTTCCTGAGGGCTGCTTCTGGGCCACAGCCCAGATCCCTACTCATCCTTAGTAGCCAAAAAGCCTGGAACTCAGGTCTGTTGCCTGCTGTTTCCTCACTCCACAGGACTGTGCTAGCTCTGGAAATCAGGAGCCATTTAGCCTAGGCTTTGGGTACTAACTAGAGAGGGGAGATTGCCTAGCCCTCCCCCCACCTTAATTGTTTTCTTTCCTGGTAAGGGTTCAGAACCCAGGAGGGAAAGGGATCTTAGTTAGCTGGAAAAAAAGCTGGAGCAGATGGGATGGGATTCCTTCCTGAGAGCCAGTGGAATAGGGTAGGGAGAAAAGAAACAGTGTCCTGGTGTCAGAGGGACAAAATTCCAAGCCTGGCTGGCTCCCTAGGACCACTCTGGCTTGGTGGGAAGTGAGATGCATGAGGAGATGCATGGGCTGGTGCAGTCTGGTAGGCTAGCCTGGCTGCGTCTTTTGGCCGCTGCTGGGGCAAACAAAGGCCACCCAGAATCCTGAGGCCACCTTCCCACTTCTCAAGACCCCTGTCCCTTGGCATGGTGGTTTATCAAACAAACCAGCCCTTTGTGGGGTTCTCACTGCCTTGCCCTGTCCCCAGAGGAAATGACTTCTTGTGAAAGCCAGGACCCCAGCAGAACTGGCTGGCTGTGAGCTGGCCATCATCACGTGCGAGCCTTGTCTCTGCAGCTGGAAGCCCTCACCCGCCCCTCACCCACCCAGGCCCTCTCTTTCTAGGAGGTCAGCAGCCATCCCAACTAAAGGCAGCAGAATCGCCTGGAGAATTTTGGTACAAAAACACCCCACCCAGACCTACCCAATAGGAATGGGGGCTGGAAAGATGAGAATCTCTATTTTTTACAAGCTCCTCAGATGATCCTAATTATTAACAAGACTTGAAAGCCACCGGTTGATGGAAGGATTACTGGACTCTCACTTTGGGCCTCAATGTCTTCATCTGTAGAATGGCACTATATTTGTTCCTCAGGGGGCTGGCAGATAACAGATTTTAAAAGATACTTTGAAAGGCTGCTCAATACATTGTATTTTCAGTATTTCCGTTTCAAAAAGCAGCTTCATTTGCAAAAAGGCTCCCTACTGAGTTTTTACTCTCACTTCAGTAGGACAATCCAAATCCTCCTTGAGGGCCTGCGTTTCAGTGTTTCACAACCCTCCCAGTAAGCCAGGTGCCTTTATAATCTTGCTATTTTGACCAAGCTGTTTGTTGTTTTTCAAGTAAAAAAGCCACAGAAGTCCTGGGAACGCTTTTGCTGGCTTCTTCTCCACCTCCTATCACTCCACCCTCTCCCAGCAGCCCTGACCCACGCTGCCCCTGTCACTTCCACTACCCACAATGAGACGTTTCCAAAGGGCTGCGGAGGCGCCCCAAGCAGAGCAGTGTAAGCAAGCTGGCTGGCCTTCAGGGGTTCCCATCCTGAATTCTGGGGTTCTCAGAATCACACCCCCACCCCAAGATCTGGTTTAACTTCCCAAACCCGACTGGGGCGGCTTGCCAGACCGAGGCCCTGGGAACCGGTGCAGAGGACAGGAACCGCCTGAACAGGGAGGGGCAGGTGGCCGGGAGTGAGTGCTCATTGACTTTAAATTGCAGGCTTCCGCGGGTCCCACGGGAATAGAGCACAGCTCAGGAAGGGGCAGGGTTTCTAAATAGTCTGGGCGCTGGCCACAGAGACCGGGACATGGGGCCTGCTCACCAACTCCAGAAGCCTGGGTCACCTGAAATGTGACACTAGCCCACCCCTGCTTGGAGGTCAGCCAGTGTACTTACCAGGGTTGCCTGATGTAGATTCCATGTTGCACATTGTGTCTATATGATGAGTGCTCCCTGGAGAGCTCCTTCCCAGAAGACTCATGGAAATGCATAGACTCTAATGGAAATGGCACCCTCTGGAGCAGTGCAAAAGGCAGGCCTACTGCCACCAAGGGAACATACATTTCAAAAGCATTTTGAGGCTGGGTGCGGTGGCTCACGTCTGTAATCCTAGCACTCTGGGAGGCCAAGGCGGGAGGATCACAGGAGTCAGGAGTTAGGAACCAACCTAAGCAAGAGGAGACCCCATCTCTAATAGAAAAAAATTAATTGGCCAACTAAATATATATATAGAAAAAATTAGCCGGGCATGGTGGCACATGTCTGTAGTCCCAGCTACTTGGGAGGCTGAGGCAGAAGGATCGCTTGAGCCCAGGAGTTTGAGGTTGCTGTGAGCTAGGCTGACTCCAGGGCACTTTAACCCCAGGCAACAGAGCGAGACTCTTTCTCAAAAAAAAAAAAAAAAAAAAGAGCATTTTGAGGGGAGTGACTGCTTGATGGGTACAGGGTCTCCTTTAGGTTATAAAGATGTTTTGGAACTAGATAGAGGTGGTGGTTGCAAAACACTGAGAAAGTACTAAACTACACTAAATTGTTCACTTTGACATGGTTAATTTTATATATGAATTTCATCTCAATTAAAAAACATGTTTAAGTTTTGAAGGGAAAGTACTGACTATTTAAAAAGCTTCCCTATAACAAATCAGCCCTCTGCATTGGGTCACCTTTCTCCCCAGCTTCCTAGGATCACGGACTACATATTCCAGCCAGAAGAACTGAGTTGTCTCAAAAGCCCTGCTCCCACACCTCAGCTGAGGAAGAGGAGAAGAAATGGTCAAATCTGTCCAAGGTTCTTGGCAGCACTTGTCAGAAAGAGGACAGAAAGACTGTGCCAAGGTCCTCTGAAGGGCCAACCCATAGGCGGAGCCAGACCCTGAGAGTCCAGATGTAGGTCTGTGCCATTCTGGGAAAAGCCATGTTCTTGCCTCACGGAGCTATCCATTTAACCACGCATTCATTTGTTCATCCAAAGAACATTCACTGAGCCTCTGCTGTACACCTGGCACAGTGCTGGCTGCTGGAAGTCAAGATGAATTGAACACCACAGTCAAGCAGCTGTCTAGAAGAAAAGACTATAAAGTGGAAACAATTATTAATAACAGAGACAGGCACAGGGTGGAAGGATGCCCTGAGGAGGGCACCTAAGGGATGGAGGGATGGGGGCGCTGGGGAAGGCCTCATAAAGGAAAGGATGACCAAGTTGAATCTCCAAGGCTGCTGGTGGCAGCATGTCCGGGCAAGCCCAACCTGCAGCCAGCCTTGGCCTGAGGGGAGTGGGAAAGGAAGGGGAGGATACCAAATGTAGGGTTTGTGAGTTTTCTGAAGGCTGGAAGGGGCCTGGATCAGAGCTGCCCCCTCCCTAGGAAGGCCCCATTGCAGAGGTGAGGAGTGGTGTTTGGTGCAGGGTGTGTTAAGCTGGTTGCATAGTCTCTCCAGCTCCAGCCAGGTGGAAAGGATTCTACCTTGAAAGGATGGACCAATCCCTTTCATCCTGTTGCTCCAGAGGGGCTATGGGTTAAGAACCCCCTCTTCTAGGTCCAAGAGTTCTCCTGGCAGACAGTGATATAGGCCTTGTTCCCCTCCATTGCAGTGATAGGGGGTGTCACAAGGGAAGCAACTGAAGGCCCCCCAGGCCTCCATGCAGGAGGTTGTTTTCCTGGAACCCACTCCCTCCTACTCTAGGAAACACTTTGAGGGCTAGAAATGCCTTCCTTTTCACATCACTTTTTAAAAACAGGAGACAAAAACACTAATAGATTTCTTTTGCAAAGAAACAGAATTACCCAGTGCACATTAATGCAGCCCTTCCCATTTGGGAGACAGTGAACAAAAAAGATACCTGGAACACTGTTGGGCACTGGGCTGTGATGGTATTTGTTGAATGAATGAATGATTCCTAAAAAAACTGCCCTTTCTAAACTGGCTCTGGATTCTTTGCTTATGAATATCAACTTTAAAAAAGAAAACTATTTTTCTTAGGTGAATGTTCCACATTTTCCTGAAGTATTTTTTTTCTGTCAAAAAAAAGAGAGAAAAAAGAAGAAAAGAAAAACAAAAGTGTTTGATCAGAAGCATCTTTGGTGAAAGAAAGAAAGTGAAAGAAAGAAAAGGAAAGAAAGGATTGAAAGAAACAAACAAGCAAGCAAAACAAAGGGTGTTTTAGGTGTCCCCAACCCAGCCTGGTGGGAGGAATGAATGATCCTCTGAGAAATAAATTCCCAATTCTTCTGTCCTGGCCAACAGGAAGACACATCCATACAGGTCACTCCTAATTCTTTTCTTTCCACCTCAGTTCAGAGTGATTTCAAGAGGATGTCATCTACTTCATCTGATGGCCTTGATCTGGTGTACTTAAGGCTCCAGCCAGTGTTCAGGCCTTAAAAGCTCCAGTGGCTATTCTGAGACCCCTTTTGTAAATACATAAATTTGTCCCCAGAAGTGGTTCTCTCACCTGTAACGTGGGGCTGAGGTTCAGGGCCTGGATTTCAGGTCCTTTCTGATTCTTTTTTTTTTTTTTTTTTTGAGACAGAGTCTCACTTTGTTGCCCAGGCTAGAGTGAGTGCCATGGTGTCAGCCTAGCTCACAGCAACTTCAAACTCCTGGGCTCAGGCAATCCTCCTGCCTCAGCCTCCCGAGTAGCTGGGACTACAGGCATGCACCACCATGCCTGGCTACTTTTTTCTCTATATATTAGTTGGCCAATTAATTTCTTTCTATTTATATAGTAGAGACGGGGTCTCTCTCTCTTGCTCAGGCTGGTTTCGAACTCCTGACCTCCAGCAATCCATTCACCTCAGCCTCCCAGAGTGCTAGGATTACAGGCGTGAGCCACCACTCTGGTCTCTTTCTGATTCTAAGTATTGTTCCAGGGTCTCTGGGTCAGCTTTTTTAAAAATTAGGGTGGAGTAGGGCCTGGGGAGGGCAGTGGCTCACCTTCTGCAAGTGTCATTTGTCACGTGCAAGCCTGCCCTGAGGCAAGGCCGGCTAGTCTAATCTGGTGAGGTTTGTGACCACCCCAGGCCAACTGTCTGATGTAAGTTCGATTCCCTCTTCCATCAGGATCCCTGTGTCCCAGATTGATAAACCTTTAAAGAAAGGAAGGCTGAATCCAGCCGAGCCTCCTCCCACCCCGAGCAATCATATCAGCCTCAGAGCACTGCAGCCAGGCCAGATTTCCTGTGACCCCGCCTGAATGACGAAACACGGGCTCTCAATTGCACTCCGGGGGCCTTTCTGGAGATCTCAGTCCTGGGTCCTGATGCAACTCTGTCTGGGTCTGTTACACAAAGCGCTGTGGCGGCAGGGGCGCTAGGACCCGACGGACGCCCGGGCAGGGGAGGCTCGGTCGAGCTGCAGTCCGTCCTTAGGGCCGGCGGGCGGGTCAGTGTGTCGGTCTGATTTGGGTCCTTGTCCTCAGCCCCTGGACTGGGCACTAGGAACCCCGGCCCATCAACACTCCCCTAACCACCTTCCCCAAGCTCTCGCCTTGGAAGCAGTCGGGGTGGGGGGAGGGGAGATAGGGCTTGGGGGCCAGGCTCCTGCCGGGGCACGGATGTCCCCATGAGCCCGTCCCCTGGGGCTGTGGAGTAACGGACAGGCGGGGACTCGGGGAGGGGGAGCACGGTGCCCGGAGCTGCCCAGTCTCGGGACCCCACCCCCATACCGCGACCCTTCGCAAGCAGGGCAGCGTGGGGCACGGGCGCGAGGGCTGGCCGGGCTAACGTCTGCTCCCCGCGCCGCCGTCCCAAGGGTGTCCACCCATGTGCCCAGTGCTGCCCGTGGCTCTCGGGCTCCAAGACGCGGGGGGCAACCGTTTTCCCTGCCTGCAGCCCCCTCAAGTTCCCCTGCCTATCCCCTCAGCGCGGTCACGGGCTATCCCCTCCCCCAGCAACACGACCCTATAATAAACAAGTCTTTCCTTGATCCTCCCCTGCCGCGAGCGCCCTCGGGGACCTTGGCAGCTGCAGCCGCCGCGGATCCTTTCCAGAAAGGGGGCGTGGCCGCAGCTCGGGGTTCGGCTGGGAGCGTTCTGGGGCTCAATGGGGGCGGGGCCAGGCCGCTGTCACCGGGCAGGAGAGAACGTTGCGAACGTGCGCCCGGAACCGATTGGTCGAGGCGGGCCACACTCCCGGGTCTGGATTGGGCCCTGGCGCGGAGGGGGCGTGGCCTCCACACGCTAGTCCTTATAGGCTGCTCCGCGCTGGTGCTGGGGATCGCAGCAGGCTGAGGGGGAGGTGCGGGTGGGTAGGAGGGACAGGTCTGGGCAGCGCTCGGTGGTTGGCACCAGTTCGCACACCCATTGAAGCGGCAAGACGCACTTGTCCTAGCAGTTCTCGCCGACCGCGCTAGCTGGTGAGTGTCCCGGCTCTGGGTGCTGATCGGTGTGGGTCCTGGCGCTCGCAGTCGGGTCTAGCCCCCAGACTGACGCCCGGTCCGTGCCCCTCTTGTCTTACAGCCGCTTCTGCGCTCCCGCAGCCTGAGCTCATCAGCAAACGCCCTGGCGTCCGTCCTTACCATGCCGAGCCTTTGGGACCGCTTCTCGTCATCCTCCTCCTCTCCGTCGTCCTTGTCCCGAACTACCACCCCCGATCGGCCGCCACGCTCAGCCTGGGGCTCGGCGGCCCGCGAGGAGGGGCTTGACCGCTGCGCGAGCCTGGAGAGCTCGGACTGCGAGTCCCTGGACAGCAGCAACAGTGGCTTCGGGCCGGAGGAAGGTGAGCGGTGGCCGGGTGCCGGACGCGACTCGAGGGGCCGGGAAGGTGTGGAAGCGCAGTGCCTGAAGGGGTCAAAGCCACCTTGGCTTCCTATCCCTTCAGGAGCCAGAATGCCTGGGGGCGTGCGGGGGGGGGTGTTGGAGCGCAGGGTACGAATAGGGGGTGGAAACTGAGGCACGGCGTGGGTAGGAGCGCTGGTTTCTTAGTGAAACAGGACCTCCCCCGCCTGTATGTCTCTTGTTGAAGCTGCTCTAATACTGTGTGCTCTCTCCTCCAGACTCGGCATACCTGGATGGGGTGTCGCTGCCCGACTTCGAGCTGCTCAGCGACCCCGAGGATGAGCGCCTGTGTGCCAACCTGATGCAGCTGCTGCAGGAGAGCCTGGCCCAGGCGCGGCTGGGCTCGCGGCGCCCCGCGCGCCTGCTGATGCCTGGCCAGCTGGTGAGCCAGGTGGGCAAGGAACTGCTGCGCCTGGCTTACAGCGAGCCGTGCGGCCTGCGGGGGGCGCTGCTGGACGTCTGCGTAGAGCAGGGCAAGAGCTGCCACAGCGTGGGCCAGCTGGCCCTCGACCACAGCCTGGTGCCCACCTTCCAGCTGACCCTCGTGCTGCGCCTGGACTCACGCCTCTGGCCCAAGATCCAGGGGCTGTTCAGCTCTGCCAACTCTCCCTTCCTCCCTGGCTTCAGCCAGTCTCTGACGCTGAGCACCGGCTTCCGAGTCATCAAGAAGAAGCTGTATAGCTCCGAGCAGCTGCTCATTGAGGAGTGTTGAACTTCAACCTGGGGGGCCGACACTGCCCCCCATGGCAGAAACAACTGAACTTTTGGGGTGCAGATTAGCAGGCAGGAGCTGAGGGACAGATGCCTGTCGTTAGCAAACTGACAACAGCCACCTGAGGGGAGGAAGGTGGAGGCGGGAGAACATAGTGTTTCCTAGGAAGCTGACTGGGCTGTGTGCAGGTGGCTTGGAGTTGGGGGCACATGCCCTACAGTACTGTAGCATGAAACAAAGGCTTAGGGGCCAACCAGGCTTCTGGCTGGATGTGTATGTAGCATGTATCTTATTCTTCTTATTGTTACTGACAGTTACAAGACGACAGTGGTGTGACAGAGCCAGGGAAGCAGCTGGGCTGCTCGGGCCTCTGCTAGGGATGTGTGCTCACGGTAGCAGCGGAGGGAGGGGGGAGGTCATGGAGGTGGTTTGTGTATCTCCTGGTCTGAGGGGACCAAGTATGTTTGTTGTTTGTTTTGTATCTTTTGTTTTTTCTGATCAGAGCTTCACTACTGACCTGTTCTAGGCAGCTATCTTACAGACGCATGAATGTAAGAGTAGGAAGGCGTGGGTGTTGGGATCAGTTGGGATCTTTGACACTTGAAGAAAAAAACCCACCTGAGAGCTGCGTTCAACCCATTCCCCACCCCCATGTACTGCAGAGCTGAGCTGTGAGGGGAAGGGGCCAATGGGGGTGGGGCTGGAACCCCTCCCCCAGAGGAGTGCCATCTGGGTCTTCCATCTAGAACTGTTTACATGAAGATACTCACTGTTCATGAATACACTTGATGTTCAAGTATTAAGACCTATGCAATATTTTTTACTTTTCTAATAAACATGTTTGTTAAAACGGTTGAGTCTCTTATCGGTACCATGAAATGAAAAGTAGGTAGAGGGGTGCTGGTCAAAGGCAGGTTTCATCAGACTCTGGGGCCCACCTGTGTGTTCTTCTGTCCCTTTCCGGGACTGCCTGCCAGCCTGGTAACAGAGGCGTGTGGACTGAGTGCCGTCTGTGCCAAGGATCCTGGCTGTCTTGGCTCTGCTGGCTGAAGCTGCCAGGAGAACGTGCTGGAAAGCACCTGAAGGTGAGGGGTGAGTCAGACCTCCCACTGAGCCAGAATCTCGGTAGGGAGAGCTCACCTGGCTGCCCAGGTTAGAAGGCCCAGGCACAAGGGCCTCCTGAGCCCAGAGTCCTTACTGGCATGGAAGAGACCTTTTTTTTTTCCTGTGAGAAAAGTCAGCAGTTCTATTTGTTCTGCAGTCATAAAAATTACAAATTTTATCTTGGATATAAGAAGGCTAAGAGGAACCTAGGGCCCAGAGAGGGGCATGAGCAGCCTCAGGAAGGAAGTGTGGGCCAGGCAGGTGCAGAGCCCCTACACATCGCAGGCATGCACGTGCAAAGGGAGGTAAGGGAAGGGAGTGGTAAGGGCTTAGAGAAAAGAGATTGCAGGCCTGTCTTCACAGGTGCCCTGGATGACTTGGAAGCACTGGGTAACCTGGACTCATTCTGATCTCTGGGCCCCAAGTTCCTTATCAGAGAAATTGTCAAATTGGGGTTGGGCCAGATGAAGGCTAAGTCCCTTCCCACTTCTCCCTCCCTGTGACTGGGTCCACCCACACCGACTGGCCTTTGGAGAGTTATTATCTCCCTTGTTTTCTCTTCCTGGTCCCAGATAGACTTGTTTGCTCAAGACTACAACAGTGGTTCTTCCACTTGAGTGTGCAGTCAGATCGCTTGGGGCCCTAGTGGAGAGTCTGAGCGCAGGTGGGACAGGGCCCTAGGAACCTGCATTTTCCTCAGGGAGCCTGACGCAGGGTCCTGAACTTTGGGATACCTTAGAAAACCCACATCTCTTGGGTAGAACTGAGTGACTTGTTCCCCAAAATGAATGGACTTGAGTTAGAGTAGATTTGAAAATGGATGGTGACAAGGATGAAGAAGTTGCCTAGAGCTAGTTTTAGGAAAGCCCTCATTCCCATTCTCTTAGCACATCCTCCTGATGGCCACCCTGCAGGGCTGGGTGGGGCAGGGATTTGTAATGTTTTAGAGATTAGCAAGGAGAGGCTCAAACCCTTGAGCCACCATCTCCCTGGACAAGGCTGATCTTGTCTACTCTCAGTCTCTCAGGTTTGGGGCTGGGAGGGAAGCAGGCTTCACACTTGAATGGCATCCGAGGGGCACTTTCTCAGGAATTGACATCTACACCAATGCTCCTGACTGTACTCAAAAGAGGAGCAGGGAAACAATTGTCTGTCTTCAGAGGAGTTTTGTGGGTATTTGGAGGCATGAGCTGGACGGATTGGTCAGCATTAACCCCTCTTGGAGCCACGGAGGCAGCTGAGCAGACTCAACTCCTTTTCTTAAATGGTCAGACTGAGGCCATGGTAAGGCTTGGCCTCCCTCTACTAAAGCCAGACTGGCTTTCCTTATCTTTGTGGGGCCTGAAAGTCTCACCAAGCAGGACAGAGGGGCTCCCAAATGGGAGCCCTGTAGCTTGGGTTTTACAATAAGAGGAAGAGGCTTGCTGAGGTTCCAGCCAGTTCTGGGTCCTCTAGGTCCCTTAAGATGTGGCAGGGAGTTTTGCCACAGGTATTGTGCTCCCTAAGAAAAGATGGGGCAGGCTCCTTTGATGCTAAGGCTAAAAGCTAATAGAGCTTATAACTTACACATAACATCCAACTTAGGAAAATGCTTTCACAAATCGTCCTATTTGGCCTATAAAAGTTGTATTGATTACCTCCCTTTCTATAGGATTCCCTCTCTTATTCCTACTTTCCACCTCCTCAGGTTACTGCTCTAGAACCTGCAATAGTTCCCTATTGCCATATTCCACTGTGTGTCTTTCAAGATCTTTGAAATTGGCCCCTATACTCCAGGCTTACCTCTCTCCACTCACCTTATTTTGTTATAGATCCTCCCACTCCTGCAGCCCCAGGCTCTGCTGTCTCTAGCACCCCCCTCCAGGGATGTGGCCCCTCTATGGAGTTTGCAAGCCCTGCCCTTCCTTTAAGGCCCAGAGCAAGTTCCAGCCTTTTTTTATGGCTCCCTTCTACCTCCCCTCCCCCTATCCTTCACAATTGCAGTGTTAAAACATAGCACACAATGATCTCATTGTATGCACTTGTTTTGCATCCCCCCAGCTCTATGGGACACCCCTAAATGCCCCTCAGGCCTGGAATATAGTGGTTCACTAGGTATTGGCTATCTGAGCCTTCAATCATCCCCCTCTCCCTAGGCTCAGAGAACACAAGATTCCCCCACCAGCCTCAGACTTTCAGGCTAAGGAGAGAGGAGGGCAGGATAGAAACATTTAGTTTTTTTATTATGTCTACTACATAGCTTATTGGAATATTAAAGGCCATGGTCCTGGGCCAGGAGCAGTGGCTCATGCCTGTAATTCTAGCACCCTGGGAAGCCAAGGTGGGAGGATTGCTTGAGGTCAGGAGTTCAAGACCAACCTGAGCAAGACCCCATCTCTATTAAAATTAGAAAAAAAATTAGCCAGGCGTGGTGGTACTCACCTGTAGTCCCAGCTACTTGTGGGAGGCTGAGGCAGGAGGATCACTTGAACCCAGGAGTTTGAGGTTGCTGTGAGCTAGGCTGATGCCACAGCACTCTAGCCTGGGTGACAGAGTGAGACTCTTGTCTAAAAAAAAAAAAAAGTCTATGGTCCTGGTAGGGAGGTAGTGTCCTTAATGGCTAAAGCCATATGCGTTAGAGTTAGTGAAATCTGGGTTCAAATCCTGGCTGAGACATTTCTTAGCCAATGACCTGGAGTGAGTCACTCTACCTCTCTAAGCTTCAGTTTCCTCATCTGTAAAGTGGGGATAATAGTGGGAAAATGGTATATAAGAAGACATAACTGGGGTCCACCATGGGCAGAGAAAGCCAGTGGCCAGGTAGGAGATGAGGGCCTGAGTCAGTGGCAGAGTTGGCTGCAGAGCAAGCCCCCTTTCCTGGGGACCACCCTTTGACTCCCTTTCTCTCTGGTCTTGCTTTCCTCTAACATCTTTTCAAAAGTCACCATCTTGGCTGGTCCGATGGTAATGAGTTATCTCACTTGATTGTTCACAGTCAGTTACAGATTGAACTCCTTGTTCTACTACTTTCCCTCCTTTTCACTTCTACACTTGACTAGTCTGAAACACGCAGGGGCCCAGCTGAGCAGTCTCCATCTTGATCCCCACTACGGACAGCTTCATGGAAACATCTGGGGCAGCAGGGGCAGCCTGTGACACATGGTGACGGTGGCTCTGAAGGCAGCGGTTGTCACTTGATTACTGCATTCACTCATTCATTCATTTAATCAATATACCATATAACTAAATGGGTCCATGGGGGCTATAAGAGAAAGTCAAATTAAGTAGAAACCCTTAAGAAGTTGATATCAATATATTCTTGCTCTCTCTCTCTCTTTCTCCCCCGCTTTCTCTCCACACACACACAAACACACACACTTGCACATAATCACACACATATTTATGAGCAAAACTATGAGGCATAAGGAGAAGAGAAAATGGGCATATACTCAATTCTCCCTACCCTTGACTACTCATGGAAAATTTTTCTATCTGTATACATTTTGGGGGACATGTGCAATTTTGTTACATGCAAGGGTAGCCATCAAGTCAGGGCTTTTAAGGTGTCCATCACCCAAATAACAGACATTGTACCCATTAACTAATTTCTCATCTTCTTCTCCCTCCTTTTACCCCCTCCCAGGAAAAATTATTTAACAATATAGAGAAGTATATACAATGAAACTAACTGAACTGCAGCCTTAAAATTGATGGATTTTCTTGAATGTAAATTATACCTCAATAAACCTGAATTTTTTTTTTTTTTTTTTTTTTTTTTTGAGACAGAGTCTCACTTTGTTGTCCAGGCTAGAGTGAGTGCCGTGGCGTCAGCCTAGCTCACAGCAACCTCAAACTCCTGGGCTCAAGCGATCCTCCTGCCTCAGCCTCCCGAGTAGCTGGGACTACAGGCATGCGCCACCATGCCCGGCTAATTTTTTTTTATATATATATCAGTTGGCCAATTAATTTCTTTCTATTTATAGTAGAGACGGGGTCTCGCTCTTGCTCAGGCTGGTTTTGAACTCCTGACCTTGAGCAATCCGCCCGCCTCGGCCTCCCAAGAGCTAGGATTACAGGCGTGAGCCACAGCGCCCGGCCAATAAACCTGAATTTTAAAAAAAGTATATATAAAATACATAGCTGGGCACAGTGATGCTCATCTGTAGTCCCTGCTACTCAGGAGGCTGAGGTTGGGGGGATCTCTTGAGCCCAGGAGTTCGAGGCAAGCCTGGGCAACACAGTAAGACTCTGTCTCTATCTGGGCACAGTAGCCATGCCTGCAGTCCCAGTGACTCCAGAGGCTGAAGCAGGAGGATTGCTGGAGCCCAGGAGTTTGAGGCTGTAGTGAGCTATGATGACGCCATCTAGGACAACAGAGCAAGGCCCCATCTCAAAAAAAAAACACAAAAAAACAACAAAGCATATATACGTAAAAATGAACTGAGTGGATCACAGGCCTAAATGGAAGAGCTAAACTATAAAACTCTTAGAAAAAAATATAGGACCAAATCTTTGAGATGTTGGATTAGGCAGTGATTTCTTAAATAAGACACCAAAAATGCAAGTGCTAAAGTAGAAAATTGACAAGTTGAACTTTATCAAAATTGAAAACATTTGTGCTTCAAAGGATACCATCAAGAAAGTGAAAAGACAACCCACAGACTGATATATCTGATATATATATATCTGATATATACATATCAATATATCTGATATATATAGACTTATATATCTGCTAAGCAATTTGCATCTAGAATATGAAGAACTC